CTTTCGAGAACTTTTATTCGCGAATTTGGAGCTGCAATCTCTCCAGATGCTCCATCTTCCTTTTTAGCAATCTGTCCCCCATTCGTCTTCAACCTACTTTCCACCGACTCTGTCGGTTTAAGCCTAATGCTCTGTTTACCTTTGTTCTTTTCGACGTATTTGTGCTCCTAAGCTGCGTCTTAGGGGTTAACCCCTCAGCCACAACCATATCCTGTACCAGGCGAGAGCACTCGAGCGCCACTGCCTTGCACTGGACAAATACCCACTTCAGATTCTTGTTCTGAAGGTGTTTGAGGTATTTTCTCTTTTCTAAAAGTGAGCACTATTGATGGTACCACTTTTTGCACCTACCGCATTGAATGCCGTCCGCTACATACAAATTGCAACCAGTGCCACCACAAGGACCTTCGCTCTCTGAGGAAATCATTGAAAAACGTGCGAAAATTTCGAAAACACGGTCGGGAAAAACGGATCAACGGGTGAAATAGCTAAAAACGCATTGGGAACACAACTATAAAAAACTAAAAGCTACTGAAATACAACTTTTGTGAACCGCTAGAGGGTTCAATCATTTGTATAGTAACCACTAAAATGTTTAGCGCTAAAAGTGTGAAATATCTTTAGATATACCACTAGTATCCCACCAAACATTTTAAATACCGAGAGCAATTCGACAATTCAAACAACGCACGAACGTACCACAGGTCCAGTGTAACGACCAAAACGCGATTGTCCTGATCCGAGCGAAATAAAAAAGACCTCGTCTGTATGCGTTCAATCAAATGATCCTTCACTCGTTCTGGATAGCGATAAACAAATCTCAGAGCAACGCGTAGCCCAACTTATTGAGAACCAAGTCGATCCAAAAAGAATCTACGGTACTATTATCGCATTAGTCACAAATACATAAGGCAGTCATACCTCTGATAGTAAGCCTGATTCACTATCCAGCCAAAATGTTACAAATATTCACAGAAAATATCTGCGGTAATAAAAATTAAATAAGAAAATGAGTGATTTGAACTACCTTTCAGATAATTCTGGACCAATAGGAAAATTCTGCACGCTTTAACAGATCAAGCAAAATAATCTTCAGCGTTGCAGCCAAAGGGGTTTAATGTAACCGAAAGCAACGGTTAGTTCAACAACGGGCATCCAATCGAAACTTTGGTCGCAATAAAACAAGAAAAAGCACTGAATCTCATTTACATGTAAGAGCAAAACACTTGAAGTGTGTGTCCAATAGATATGCTTCACCGTAAAAAGGTGAAATAGAAAGTTTACAAGAGAAAATTCACCGACATGAAAACCACTGTCGGAAAGAATGCACGCTAGAATGGCGA